GTCACTATATGTTATCGTTAATGGTTTCGTTAATGATTTCAGGTTATTCAATAATTAATTATTTTTGAAGAACTGAAGGTGTCACTATGTCACTATGTGTCACTCGGTTATTTAACTTCTCTGAAAAAATGAGACAACATGACATTTTGACAACATCACTGGAAATATGATGCAGCCCAAAAATAAAATTAGTTTTAAAATTATTTTTATTTTTTTATTCCTATATAAATGACGGCAACAAACAACAATAGTGACTATATCGTTTCTGATGAAAAAGTTATTGATCCATTAGTTGAGGAATTAGTTGAGGAATTAGTTGTGGCAACAAACAACAATAGTGACTATATCGTTTCTGATGAAAAAGTTATTGATCCATTAGTTGAGGAATTAGTTATGACAGAAACTAAAAAAACCCTCAGCGAAAGAATTGGTAAAAACATGATTGATTTACATAACTACCTCAAACATGATGGAGGAGGAAGAGGAAAAACCGGTATGGCTTTATTAGTAAATAAAATTCCAAATTTAACGATTATAGATGTTGATATCAATAAATCGTACAATGATGAACTTAAAGAAACGGTTAGAAAAGACATTTTATCAAAACTTTCGGATAAAGATGTTATCGTTAAAACCGCTTCGGGAGGTCTTCACATTTATTGCAACACTAATTTCTTCTATGCAGTTTCGAACAGAATGATTAAATGTTATTCCTGCAATGATTATGATATTGATATAATGACTTCTATTGATGATTCAAAGCGTTCATTAGTGGTTATGGCTGATTCAAGAGTTCGCAAGAATGCAACAGAACCAATCAATACATACTCATTCATTCGTGGAAGTTATGACTCAACATTAACTAGAACAGTGAATGATGTATTAAATGATTTGAATATTAAGGTAAGAGTTGAACAAAAGAATGAAGAAATAAAGACTATCATGAATGAAAACAAAAGATGCAACATTGACGATAAACTTGCCCAGAGCATAGTTGATGGTATCTGTGATTTTGAAGTACATAATGACGGTGGAAACATGAATTTAGAAAAAGAAGTTACATTATTCACACTGTTTCAAGCAATTAATTCGTTACCTAATCATTTAATTAATGAAGCATACGACAACGTTTATAACTTCTGCAGTTTAACAGAAAATGCAAAAAGTAATTTTGAAAAAGCACGTGATAGATATGCATATTTAATGACTTCTCCATTTGTTTTGGTGAAGATTCTAAAACTATATCAAAAGGAATATTATGATGAATATGTTTTACCTTTATTACGTAAGCCAAAAATAACATTTGATATAAAACTTGATGACTCGTTTTTGATAACAGATATTAGACGCAAGGCTGAAAATCATCAGTATAAAAACAGTTCTGAAGTAATTGAGGATTTATCACGTGTAACCCGTTTTGTAGATTGTGGAAATAAATATTTCATTCAAAAGGACTACAATATCCACGACAAAATGAATCAAATATCATTCGTTCTTCAATCAAACATGAAAGAGTCACTTAAAATGATTAAATTATTTAAAGAAGAAGGTAAAACAATAACAGCATGGGATGTACTATTAAATCAATTGTCTTCATTAACCGTTAAGGGTGTTTGCTTTAAATCTAATTCTCCTGATGTTTTCTCAACGTTTCAAGGTTATAAATACAACATTCTCGAAAAACTAGATTACTCAAAAATTGAGATGTTTATGGATTTCATTCATGAAGTTATTTGTGATAATAACGATGAAGTGTATAAATACCTTCTCGGCTGGATTGCATCAATGATTCAACATCCTGGAATCAAGAATGAAACAGCAATTATTTTGAAAGGACTTCAGGGAACAGGTAAAAACAGATTCACGGACATTATTTCTGAACTTCTCGCCGGTTATTCATGTAAAAACATTACTGAAATAAGTGAGCTAACGGGTAATTTCAATTCAGTAGTTGAGAATAAAATGTTTCTTGTACTTAATGAACTCAAGAATGTTGGTGAAGATAGACTCGCAAACTTCAACGCTTTGAAATCAATTATAACGGATAATGAGATTAGAATTAATGAAAAGAATCAACCCAGAAGAACAGCTCAAAACGTTGCAAACTTCATTTTCGTAACTAACAACGTTTACCCTGTCAAAATTGAAGTTGGAGACAGAAGATATGTGGTTTTAAGAGTTAATGGTAAATTCAAGGGTCAATTTGATTACTTCAAGAATTTAATGAATTCATGCACAAAGGAATTTTATGATAATTTACTGACGTATTTTATGCAATATGACCTTTCATCATTTAATGTACGAATCATACCAATGACTGAAGCCAAACAAGATTTAATTGAATTATCATCAAATCCTTTAGATGTATGGATAAATACACATTATGATGAATTGTGTGCAGGTATGATATGTAAAAATGCTTTATTCTGCAAACCATCAGACATGAAAGACAAGAATTTTCAAATGAGTATTAAAGATAAATGTGATAAGAAACAGAGAAGAATAGATGGTAAACAAACATGGTGTTATGTTTTGAAAGAAGAAATGAAAGGATTATATAAACAGGTTGAACCAAACGATAATGAGGATTCATTTACTGATGATGAAATACCTGTAAATGAAGCTTTATAAAGTATGATTGGAATTTATTTTTGCATTAATCCCACTATGTTGTCAAAATGTCATGTTGTCTCATTTTTTCAGAAAAGTTAAATTACCGAGTGACACATAGTGACATAGTGACACCTTCAGTTCTTCAAAAATGCTTCATAAGTGCCTTCCTCATTAATCCCACTATGTTGTCAAAATGTCATGTTGTCTCATTTTTTCAGAAAAGTTAAATTACCGAGTGACACATAGTGACATAGTGACACCTTCAGTTCTTCAAAAATAAAGTATTATTGAATAACCTAAAATCATTAATGAAAATATTAACAATAACATCAAATTTAATTTTTATATAAATGGATACCCCACAAGCTCAAAATTTACCACGAATCATAACAAGGGAGGAAATGATAAAAATGATGCAAGAACTAATTAAAAAACAACAAACCACGAAAACCGAGAAGATGAGGAATAAAAAATTAAATTTGGATTGAGTTTAAAAATTCATCTTTATTAAATTCATCTCTTCCAATCAATTTATTTATTCTATTAAATTCTTTTATTTTTGCTTCACCCAGTTTAAGGATTGAACGATAAGTTTCTAATTTTTCGATTATTTCTTGATCGTTTTCAACCCCACCACATTGCGGCTTCTTTTTATAATAACATATTTTTGATTTAATTTTGTTTAGTTTCTTTTTATATTCATCGTCCGGACTCTTGGCTGCTTCGTTGTCACTCATTTCTTACGAAATAAAAAAATTAAATATTATTTAAATATAATGGAGTAATAAAATAAATCGGAATTTCTATTAATTTATTGTCAACCTCTACTAATGCATTACCGTTAATATATCTAACAAATTCAGCTATTGTGTCAAATCTTCGTCTTCTTTTTGTCATTGATTTATCAGTTTTTCCATAATCGAGATGAATCAAAACTTTATCCCCTTGTTTAAAATTCATGAGCCCCGAATTAATTTGTTCACGTTTAACATCATTTAACCTTTCCGTTTGCTTTCTAATATATTCCCATTCTTTTGAAATATCATTTTTCATTTCCACTGGTTTCATGTTTATACTTCTATGCCATGTATTATTGTAATAATATACTAACTGCTGTATGATGGAGTCATGATTTCCATCCCAGTATATCTGACCGTTAACCCCTAACGCATCTCTAAGAGTTCTCATTACCGCATCAACTATTTTATTATGAAACGTATATGGAGAAGATGAAAAGTAAAAATTAATTTGTGGAAAATAATGAGCCATAGCTGCCTGAAATCCTTTATCACAATCACCCCTTATATTATCTACTCTTTCATGATCTAGTAAGTATTGAATAGCTCTTCGTGTTTCCTGTTCCGTTTTCCCTTTCACTGGAATGCAATATAAATATCGAGTGTTTACGTTAATGGCAAATAAATAAGTAACGTTTCCTTTTGAATATTCTAAATGATCGATTTCGTATGAATATGGATATGGTGCAAATGAGGGGCGACTAAATTTTTCCTTTAACGGTTGAATTTTTGGGTCAGTTGGTTTATTTAATATTTTAAAATCCTTTTTAAAATCTTTTTGCTTCTTAAATGTTTGAAATGGATATAATAAAGTGAATGATGAAGGATTAACTGAAGGAGGAGGTTTTGGTGTTGCAAGTGGTTTAATTTTATCTGCTTTGATTTTGGATTTCATTCCTTTTTTCATTAATTCTGGATGTATTTTATTCATTTGTTTTAAATATACTGTATATAAACGTTTGATATACTTTCCCACTTCGAGTTTATGTTGAAGGATGAATTCCAAAAGTTGATCTTCATTTAAAAGTCGGGCTGAATATGGTTTAACTAATGAATCATAAATTAAAGCTTGTGCTTCATTTATGGTCTGAAGGGCCTGGGCGTTTTGCACTTTTAACTGTTGAACATTTGGCTTTTGCGGCTTGGGATTATATAATTTATATAATTCATCAATATCTTCTTCTGTTAATACTTTATTTTTGAAATCTTTCAATTGTTTAAGTTGCGGTTTAGTTTTTCCCTTTGCATATTCATTATTTTCAATTTTGTCTTTAATTTCAGAAATTATTTTATCATGATATTTCAAAATATCATTTTCATAATATGGATAATAATAATCCATATCATCACCCGTTATAGTGTTATCATATTTTTGGAGATATGCTTTTAAATCATAATAAGTAAGAAAATTTTGATTAAATACTAAATCATCAATTAATCTTTTTAAATTTACATCATCCATTTATATAAAAATAAAATAAATGTTTTAAGGGTGCCCACCTCTTTGATCAACTTCATAACCATCATTAACGGTTCCTTTTTGTCTCATTTGTGAATCCCATTTTTTTAAAAATAAAATTTCAAATTGTATTAAATAAATGGCATACAACATCCATTTTCACAACATACAGCCTTAGTGTGTGCTCCTGTTAATGCAGTCTTACCGATTGTTAAGCGAGTCATTGACCTGTTTTTAAGTTGTAAATTAATATTCTGACCATCAAATATCACTTTATCATTTATTATATCCAAATAATTTTTAGGTGTTAATTGTTTATTTTGTCGTAAACTAACTCCTTTCATTTTTTGTGCAATCTTTTTAAAATCACTTCCATCAATTGAACCGTTGAATGATGTATAACACTTGGGGCATAAAGCAACCATGTTATCGCCTTGTTTCTCAATTGCTAAACCCAATAACTTCTTCTCATGTGCTTTTTCTTCAACTTTATTCTTTAATTTAGGTTTAAATTTCTCATCAAAACTGAAGAAATCAAATGGTGCGAATTTGAAAATGTTTTTATCATAAAATTGTTTATCGGTAACAATTGCTTGAAATGCTTGAGTGTTAGGAAGACTTGGATCGCCAGCGATTGCCCAATAAGATGAATCAGTATCACCTTCAATGAAATGAAAACGATTAACATCCATGCATTTATACATAAAATCATAAATGAAAACTAAATACCAGTATTTAGCATTATCTAAAGTAAAGAATGCCTCTTGTAAACATGTTTCACATCTATAAAATCTATCTTTGAGCATCACTTGATATGTATCCTCACCTATTTCTCTTATGTTTTTAAACTTATTTGACATACATGCAATGCGTGCCTTCTGTGCATTCATTATTTTAGTCTTTGCGTAATTTTGTGTATTCATTGCATCGTAACCATATGATCCATTAAGTGAAATCTTGCAAAATAAACTTTTTCCTTTATTTCCTTCTAATTCAGCCTTTTGTCTTTCATTCATAAATTTGTTCGCAAATTCATTAAAACAAGTGTTTTTAGTAAATGTTAAAATTGATTGAATATCATCAATGATAAAATGAAATCTGTCGATTAGATACCAAAGATAATAAGAAGAAAATGGTTGATAATGGTTGTGTGTTGATGCTAACTGAGTTAATTTTCTCTGTTTCTGGTCAACTGGTAGATTGTTTGATTTCATGTAATTATACATAAAACTGCCAATTGTTTTTTCATCTGTGATAATATCTAAGTTTCTTATTATCGGTAAAAAGTTTATGTAATCATTAATGTATTTTTCATCAATGTGACCCTTTACTTCAGCCACGAATAAAGTATTTTTCTTTCTAATAATTCCCAATGCTTTTGCTTTCTTTGTTGCTGTATCACAAATGATAACACCATTCAATCTTCCCGGCATATACATTTTATGGTCAGTATATTGAATGAAATCATGAGGATTAGATGAAAATGATGAAGGATATAATGAATTAAAATCAACACCAACGAAATGAGTCATAATGTTGGAAGTGTCCTCATTTGATACAGTTTTAGTTTCTGGATTATATGCAAGTTTATTAATGTGCGTGATTCCTTTAAGATTTACTCTATGTTGAACATTTGATAGACCACCAGTAATTCCATTACGGAGAATGTGATAAGCTTCAACTGAATCTAAAGTCATTGGTAAATTATTTTTTAATGCATAATTTCTTAAATTGATTCTTAAACGTTGAACATCTTCATCTTTATTTGATTTTACGACATTGCAATAACAACACATTAACTGACAATTTTCTTTAGTATGTGGTTTTTCATTATCGATTCTATCCAATGTTGGTTTATTAGCATATGTAAACGCTTTACCACACATTTTGCATTTAGATGAAAGGATTAAATCGTGATAGTATTGAAAATCATCCATTGAAACATTATTTTTAGTATCTCTTTTTGCTTTTTCATCTTGTTTCTTATATGATTCAATTTTATATTTCCAATACTTTTTCGTTAATTCAAAACTTGATTCTATCTTTTCCTCAGGATATTTTTCATTAAGATTAAAGTCTTTATATGCTAAAGCGTAACGAATCATTGAAGCATTTGATGATAAAGAAAGATTATGAAGCATATCAATTTTATAAACAAATGTTTCTTCAATAATTTTATCAATTGGGTCAATCATAATTTCAACATCTTTATTGCAATAATGAATAAAATATTCTAATCTATTCTTAAAATTTTTAGCATCATTGAGATATATTTGATAATCACTATCTGATATAGTTTCTTGAGTTAATGCTGAATAAAATGAATCTTGAGTGAATGGTTCCACTTTATATAATTCTTCTTCGTAATTCTCCCATGTGATGAATTGATAAGGGAAAAAGGATTTAACACGTGATTTATTGTTTCCGAAATCTTGAGTGAATTGATCCAATGTTCCACCCGCTATATAATTTCTGATGTCAATAAATCTCAATTCATATGGAACGTTTGTTTTCTTTACAATGATTTGCTTAAATTGTGAAGATGAACCCAGCATTGATTTTATTTTCCATTTTGCAGTGTTTAAATCACGAAGAATTAAATTTAAATCAAACTTTCCCGAATTAAAACCTATGATATTCACTTTATTAAATTCCTCATCTAGAAGTTCTTTAAATGCTTCCTTCTGTTTTTCATTTAATGTAAGGGACAACAATAATTCATTGTATTGACTCATATTTGATTCAACAACTAATGAACAGGTTGAAAATAAAAACTCAATCCAATCAGAAATAAAAGAATCACTTGAAGTTAAGCAAAAATTCCTCGTATATGTTTTATCATTTAATTTAACCGTTGATGATACCATGAATGGTTTTAAGTAAGCATTCAAAGTTGCACACTCAGAAAGTTGTAATTCTTCTTTAGTCTCTAATGTTTCAAAGTCAAAAGTAATATAATATCTTGTCGGTTTATAATATTCCTGCAAATTGTGAGCTAATAACCACTGATATATCTTCTGTTTCATAATATGTGGTGCATATGGTTGCTGGGTTTTTTGCAATTGAACGTCTTGAATTAATCTTCCATTATTTTCTTTACATTTCTCACAATGCTTTAAAAATCTTCTTTGGTTTTTCCTTTCTGGATCATCGCGGATAGAATAAACTTTTTCTTTACAATATGGACAAACTTTATAGCCGGTGAGTGCTTCAACGTCTGTTATTCTGTCAGCGTGAAGTTTTCCACATGGACTCTGTGTTAATAAAATATTTACTGTTTCAAATTCTGGATCTATCATTATTGATTCCACTAATGGAAAGTCTACCTTATTTATGTCCACGTCTTCTGGTTGAGGATCACAATAATAGAAATCAATATTAACATTTAACATTCTCGCTAATCTCTCACTTTCTGATGAAATGTCAAACCCTTCATATGCATCTATTGCTTCATTTAAATAGCTTCTACGAGTTTTAGGATTAGCACCATCAGGAATGTTATAGAAGCGTTTAAATAACCTTCTACCTTCTGCTCTAATTTGATTATCATTCATTTTAGCTGTTCCGTTTTTGTTCATTTATGTAAGAATAAAAATTAAATAAAAATAAAGTTTATTTATTAAAGTCCGTAAAATGAATTAAGAATACATAAATTTTTATCATCTGCGACGTGACAAATACATTTTAATTTACTCAAGAATGCATACCCTGATACATTAAATCTAATTCCTGTCTTATTTAATTTCACAACTTTGAAAAGGAATGTATGAATAGCTATAAAATGATGAGAAGATGTTTTATGGGTTGCTTCCATTTTTTCTGAAATAAATGAATAAATATAATGTTTATAAGTTTTCATATCTTTTATGTTCTTAATAACGAATGGTATAGACCTTTCAACTTCATCTTCCTTCGGTGCTGTTCTTTCATATGAAACATTATTGGTATCTTCAACAATGAAACCACAATCACACAAAATTTTATAGGTTCCAATGGTTTCTTTTGATATTTTATCTAATAAATCAAAAACTTTATCAACACCTGTGCATTTATTTAAATAATAATTTGTGTAAATATCATGATCTTCTTTTTTAATCGTATTAGTTGCATATGTCACGTTTTTAAGAGCTTTTTTGAATTTCTCAGAATCTAAAGGTGGTGAAAGTAATATACAAGGGTATTCTTCATTATCAATAAATTGTAACTTATGTTTATGAATAAATTTAGTTCCTTCTTCTGAAAGTGTTTCATCTATTTCACCATCTAATAAATTTTGTGTTGATTCTAAGACATAATTTTTATATCTTTCTTCATGAGATTTCTGAACTTCTGATTCTGAAGCTGGGATATTCATTAAACCCTCTACTTCATTTTCAACTTCTCTTAATTCCTTAATTTTTTCATCTATTTCATCTCTTATTTTTTCCAGTCTTTCAATTTCATCATATTCATCATCTTTAATCCGTTCTTCATAATATTCAGGGAAAACATCAGGTTCTTTAGGTTTTTCTTTTTTAGATGTGGGATATAAGAAATTTATAACATCATCTTTATTCATTTTTCCATCATAATCAAACTCATTTAAAAACTCCGCAAATTTTTGACAATTTCTTAAATAATATTTATCAACTTCATAACCCGCCTCCTTTAATATATCCTTTATTTCCTCATTTGTGAATCCCAATTTTTTAACGCTGTTAGTTGTGACACTCATTTCATACGAATTAAAAATAAATTATTCAAAAATGTAAGACATGAATCAAATAATTGATTTCATAAATTCAAATAATCATTAGTTTCTTAAAGTTCAATGTTGAACTCATCAAATTCATCTTCATCATCATCATTACCAATAGCGAGTTTATTTATTCTTTCGATTCTATCTTTTGATAGTCTATCGTTTAATTTTTTCTGAAGTTTTTCGTTACCAAGTTCTAAAATTTTACATGGATGATATTTAAACTCGTTAAATTCTTTTTCCTCAGTTTTAATCATTAATCTACAAAGAACTTTAGTGAAGTGGTTTTGTTGTTTAAACCACTTATCCTTAATATTTGTTATAAATTCAATATTCGGAATTAATTCCCAAATTTTTGAATTTTCGATTAATTTACCATCAAATGCAAAAGCAATAGGTTTAATATTAAACTTACCTTTATAAAATAAACTTTCTATGTAATCATCAAAATAAACATCTACTTGTTTAACTTAGGTGAGAATTGGTGAAAGTTTATCCATTAATTGATTCACAGTCACGAATCTTGTTCCGTTCATTTATGTAAGAATAAAAAAAATAAATTATTTTTAAAATTAATGTTAATTATTTTTAATGTGTTTATTACATCATGTATGGGTTGAGTGTAAATGTCTTACATTTTTAAATCTTGATTTATTCTAAAACGTAAGAATAAAAACCGTAAGAATCATACATTTTTTACTTCATATGTCAAAAATAATGATACAAAATCGTTCAATATCGTATGAATTCTTACATTTACAAAAAAAGTCACTAAACCCGTCATATCCACTACTTCCATTACATATCATATAAAAAAATAAAGAAAAATTTTTCTCCCCGTCTTATTGTTTTATATCATTTTTTTCGAGGCTACCCTCAGTAAATGACATCTAAGCAAGTCATCCTTATTCAAAAACCACATGATGAAGAGTTACAGGAGTACTTTTCCAAGAGTGATTTAAAATTCACGAGCTTTTTTGTTGAAAAAGTATGCAACTGCAAAACATTAATCGAATTTCTGAATGCTTCCATTTGTGCACCAGATATATTTATTAAAAAGTCAATAATGCGCAAATTAATTCATGAATTCCGTTTCAGAGGAAAAAGCTTCATGTTTGCAGATATTAGTAATTCGAACGTAGATTTAAATGATCACGATTACATTCTATTTTGCAATAAATACGACTTTTATGGGTATATTTCAAAAGATCAAAAGAAAATTTCCCAAAGTCCACTAAGTATTAATGCTATTATTAAGGAAATATTCCCCAGTAGTAAAATTCAAATCAAACCATGGAAGGATTTTCGATTTGGAATTAAAAATGCATTTTACGTGAGATGGCTATATTTTACAGAGAAAGCTCCTCCTGATTTTTCTTAATAACGACTTATATTCGTTTATTCATGACATTTATATCAATTGTATCAATATTGACAGACAAATATCCGAATATTTAGTAGCAATTGATGCAATTAATAACAAAAACCCTGTTTCAATTTATTCAAGCAATAAATTCCTTGGATTACTAATAAATTGGTACAAAAACCAGTCATCCCTTCCATTTCCTTTATATTATAAGACATCAGATCAACCAGACCTTATTTTAGAAAGTAAATCTACCAAAGCCGTTTCGGTTTCAAACGAAAAGAACAATATGTTTTCAAAGGCGTAAAAATAGAGAAACCAAATGTTTCATCATTCAAACACAAGAAAGTTGTTGAATTGAATGTGCATAAGCCAACAATTACTCCATTAAATTTAAGAAAAAGTGATGAAATTGTAAAATCTCCTCCAAAAAGAGAGCAACGACTTCAAACAATACTAATGATCTCTCATTAGTTTATTTAATCTCAGAAGGATATAATTTAATGATAAGGCAAGATGGATATCCATGTTTCTGTCCAGCATATGTATCAAAGACGCAACCAATTAAGATAAAAGTTTTAGATGCTAAATTTAAACCAATAAACCACAGAATACAATTCTATTGCTACCAAACACCTAAATATTCTTTCAGTGATGAAACGAAAGAAAGTAATATTTATATTGATGAATATTCAAGTAATATTTCTCTCACGATTTATTTCACTGACGAATTCTACACGAACTTATTTTTTAATTTCCAAATCATTGAAGACTTGAGTTATTACACTCAACCAGAGAAATACAGCATTCTCTGCCTTAATCAGAGCCAGATTTGGATTTCTGACAATACTCAGATCAAACAGTAGCTATTTTACTTTGTATAATAATAATAAAAAACATTTTAAAATTGTAGAATTTCAATATTAACTTGATAGAACTTCATATTTATTTCATAACTTATTAAATCAAGAGGTTATAAAGTTATATAACTTGCTAATAAATGCTGCTGTATGAAAACTTAATATATTACGATATCTTATTTGCCCAGGTATTTATTAAGAAGTACAAGAAAATTCGAAAGAACTAATCTCAATTTGGCATCAAACTTTGATAATCTTGATGCTGTAAAGGATCTTAGTAGCCCCGGAGTTCTAAAAAAATATGTATCTGCCTCAGCTATTTTAGAATCATTGGGAGATTATATTTATTTTCACCTTAAAATAGAGATCCAAAGATTTTTATAGAAAGTAAGTAAATGCATTTGAGAATACAAGTATTGATAATTATCAAAAATATACAAATAAAATCGATTTCAGGATAATATGAGAAGGTGTCGTGATAAATGTGAGTCATCTCAAAATAGATTAACGACGTAAACGCCATTGATGGATGAAATTAGGTCCTTCTGTATGTAAAATAATCTTTGTACGATTTGGAAGTGCACATAAATAAGGAGAATATAAATTAGAAAGATTTAATTCTGTCATTGAACTTGATTTCTTAATATAATATTTATCTGTTGGAAATGTGTTTTCTTCAAAATGGCATTCATTTACAGTAACTAAGAAATATTCATTAGACATTACTGATAAATTAGAAGCATTGTTTCCTTTGTAGAAACAATGATTTACTGAAAATGTAACTTCATAGAGATAGAAAATTCCATCACCATCTTTAGAAACTTTGTTATTAATAACATTACAAAAATAGAAATTTTGTGTATTTTCCTGATGATAAAAACAACATTGTTCGCTTGATGAAATATTTTTGAAATTACTAAAATTTGTTGTTGAAAGAGAAGATGGCTTCACACTAGAAAATGCTGTATTTTTTTCAAGATTTGAATCAGAGATATTTATTGATGATAACAGAATAGATCCATATCTATTATACAAAACAGCTGAAGCTCCTGTACTTTGAGTGAATGATGATTCAATAACAAAATTCTTGTGATTATCATCATTTGTCACGCAAATATATGAATGAGATCCTGTTTTATAATCTTCTGTGATCTTAGATTCATAACTACAGACTTTGTATTGAACAAATGATCCATCTCCTTCCCCAAATTCTGATATTGCCATATATATTGATCCCCCGTTTTTATTAGAAGAACAATTAATAAAAGAAGATGTTGAAACAAGAACTTTTGTATCTGCAGTTGGTTCAGAAATTCGAATAACACCTTCTGGACTAAAATTTTTAAAAAGAACGTAATCAACAAAGACGTGGTCGCATCCTTTGACAGTTCGATTTGTATTGACATGTGTGTTAATTTCTGCATTATCATAGAATCTATTCCATATGTCGTTTGAAGCTGAGAAATGTAAAGAATTCTCTCTTAGTTTATCCCTAGTTCTTTCGCGAGAACTGAGAGCTTCTTCTATATCTTCAAGCAAACCGGATGACATGCGACAGTAACTAGAAGATATTATTAAAAGAAGCATGAGATTGCAAAACAATTGAAAAATAAAACATGTCAAAAAAATCACATTATTAGAACGGATCTCACCTACAACCAATTTTCATGCATTATTTATCAATTATGAAAATGAAAAATTTCAACAACGTTATATTTTCTGAAAATTTGAATGTGGTAAAGTTCAAAATAGCTTTTCGCCATTTCGTATCAAATTAATATTATTCATATAAATATGGAGACTCTTAACACATAGTAGCATCAATTATGAGTAATTTTTGCATTGCAAGTTAGGAATATTTTATCCCAATTAGTGGAATTTTAGAAATATTTTATATTTCGAGTTTAGCTTTGAAGCTTTCAGTCCTTTTTTTTCTCTTTTCTTTCTTCGACCTTTTTTAGTAACTCACCAATTAAAAGTCTTTCTATTGTTTTGGAATTTTCTTATTGTAAAAAATAATCGGAATTTTCTTTTCAAATTTACAATGTAAAGAGTGTCAAAACTGCATGAAAATGATGTATTCCTATATAGAGACATTACATATTCGATTATTGATGTTAATGCAAGGAAAGTTCGTGTTGGAACAGGTGTTGAATCACTCGAAAATCCAAATGCTGTAGCTTTGGATTATGGGCCGGACTTACAGATCCCAAACATTGTTTCATATTGTGGTACAGTATTTAGTGTCACAGAAATTGCATACAAAGCTTTTAGAAATTGTTTGCAAATTCGTACAATTAAAATTGGGTTTTCCATCGAAATTGTTCGAGCTTACGGTTTTTCGCAATGTAGAAATGTCATATCTTTGACATTCGATCAAAATAGTAGATTGCAAATTATTGAAGACTTCGGTTTTTATGATTTTTATTCATTAACATCACTAACATTTACTGGAGACAATCTTACAGAAATCGGAATCGGTGCCTTCGCATTTGCATTTGTATTAAAGTCGGTGATTTTTCCTCCATCAGTCACTACCATTAAAGTACATGCACTCAGAGGACTTGATTCATTAAAGTCAGTACAGTATTGCGGTAGTACGGCCATTACTGAAAACGTTTTTGATAGAGAACCAGCAAATGGACATGCAACTCCTTCTAATATAATAGTTAAGGTCACCAGATCATATCCTACTTCTAAATTTGCAACAGATACTGTGAGTGTTGATAATTCTATTTCGTGTAATTTTCCAAAAGCAATTACCTATAATTTAATATGTAAATCGCATAACTACACATATGTATTTCTACGATATTCAATATTATTTGCTTTTCTTATCATATAAAAAAAATTAATTAAGGTCCTTTTTTCATTTAAGGTACCCTATTCAAAAAATGAAAGGGGGCCCCTCACAAAATTGAAGGGGTACCATTCAAATTCTATCGAAATAGTACCTTAATTAAAAAAGCTCTCAACCGGTACCATTCAAATTCCCTCAAAAATATTGAAAAGATTTTAGGTATGCTGCTAATATAGTTAGTAGCATCATACAGAATGCATAGACAAATTTTTTACTAATTATTTTTTCTTAGCAATTCAAATTCGAGATCGCTTAACTATGCTTAGAATCATAAGCATAATAATTTTGCAAAAGGTATGGGAATAATTTGAAAATTAATTTCAAAATTATTAATACTAGTGCAAGCTAGTGTAAGCATGTAAATGCATATTTGTGCACTGATTCGATACTCTTTTTTGGAAATTGTACTTTATCTTAAATTTCGAATACAAATTTTTTGAATATGTGTATTGAAACTGTAACCTTTTGTCTAAGTTGCATTCTAATATAGCTCGAATTCTAAAAATGGGACTTTACTCCTCTTTCTTTGAGAAAATTTTAGACAATAGCCAAATTGCTAATTTTGTTGGAGTAATACCTGCATTGGGAGGTATAATATATTGTTCAGGGTTGAAACAAGGAGGTAGTTAGTGATAAAGCATAGTTACCACATGAAATGCAGTAAAATTTTGAGTCTAAACGTCTTTTAAACCATCAAGTATAAATTATAGAAAAAGATACTTTATATATAGTTAAAAAAAAAAAAAAAAAAAAAAAAAAGGTAGTGGGGCTTCCAGGCACTTCGTGCCTTCTAGCCCTGAAGATGTTTAGTATAAATGAAGTCTTAACAAAACATTTACGAAGAAGTCTTGACAAAGTCTTTACGATGAAGTCTTGACAAAGTCTTTACGAAGAAGTCTTGACAAAGTCTTTACGATGAAGTCTTGACAAAGTCTTTACGAAGAAATCTCAACAAAGTCTTTACGATGAAATCTCAACAAAGTCTTTACGATGAAATCTCAACAAAACATAGACAAGAAAGTTCATGAGTGTAAATGACCCAAAAATATATTTTAGGGTAGAAGGGTATATCTACCCCGTTTTCTACCCTCTTTTCTACCCTCGTGAATTTTCATGAAATTTATACAGAATTCAATAAAAATATATTTTAGGTGAAGAGGTGAGATTTCACCTGTTTTTTCACCTAATTTTTCACCCTCTTGAATTTTCATGAATTTTACACCAAAAATATACTACTAGGGTCATTTATGAAGAAATCTCAACAAAGTCTTTACGATGAAATCTTGACAAAACATAGACAAGAAAGTTCATGAGTGTAAATGACCCAAAAATATATTTTAGGGTAGAAGGGTATATCTACCCGTTTTCTACCCTCTTTTCTACCCTCTTGAATTTTCATGAAATTTACACCAAAAATATACTACTAGGGTCATTTACGAAGAAATCTCAACAAAGTCTTTACGATGAAGTCTTGACAAAGTCTTTACGAAGAAGTCTCAACAAAGTCTTTACGAAGAAGTCTTAACAAAGTCTTTACGAAGAAGTCTTAACAAAGTCTTTACGAAGAAATTCATGAAAATTCAAGAGGGTAGAAAAGAGGGTAGAAAACGGGGTAGATATACCCTTCTACCCTAAAATATATTTTTGGGTCATTTACGAAGAAGTCTCAACAAAGTCTTTACGAAGAAGTCTCAATAAAACATCTGTCAAAAACCTTAACCGAGTAGTTTTCATGTTTTGTCACTTTTCTGTCACTTTTCAGGGAAAAAACATTTTTATTGTATATAAAATGAATTTTACAAAACCACCGTTACCGTTCTTTGGAAATAAGAGTAAATGTAAAGATATTATATTGAGAGAACTTAAGAAACTACCGAATGGTCTAACATTTGTAGATTTGTTCGGTGGAAGTTTCTATATATCCCATTTGTGCCATACTGTATTTCCTGACTCAAAGATTATATGCAATGACTTCGACAACTATATGAACCGTCTCAAACATATACCAGACACAAACAATATATTGAAAGAGTTAAAAGAAAAGATACCTATAGGTAAGATGGAACGTATACCATTAGATAAGAAAAATACTGTCAGAGAGGTTTTGAAAAAAGCAGAGTATATTGACTGGATAGTATATCTTCTAGACTATTGTATAGTGGTTCTATAAGAGTTCATGACATTGAAACACTTATGTCAAAAGTTTTATATCTTAACTATACAAAGGTTTTCAAAGAGAACATAGAAAAATATACTGAGGGTATAGAGTTTGTGAGATGTCGTTGGACAGAGTTGTATGAAAAATATAAAAACAAGGAAAATGTTTTCTTTATAGTAGACCCGCCGTTCTATAACACATATGATTTTCAATACCAAGTAGACTGGACTTTGAGAGACTCTTTAGAAACTTTAGACGTTTTACATAACCATCCATGCTTTTACTTTACATCCGATAAAAGTGGTTTGGAAAGTGTCATGAGATGGTTAGAGGACATACATGACTATGAGTTTAGATACGATAAGATAGAATATGAGAGAGGTCCTATAAACTGGAGAAAGTGTCACAATAAAGAAATTTTACTAGTAAGTAAATGTGGTTTGAAATAGGACTACTTGTTTTAGGTTTTTTCCATTGTGTCATTTATTTATTTGACGTGGCAGAAAGATATAGAGAATATGAAGATGAACCAATGCCTGCAAATGTTCAGCATATGTACTCGTAAGAGATATTTTTATCTAATATTAAATGGACGCACAGAACTTAGCGAATGCACAGCAACCTGGACAACCAAACCCAGAGAATATTCCAAATGAAGTTAGAATACAAACTGCAATGGCAAACTATGGTCAAGTGCCAACAGATGTACAAATGCAAACTGCCATGTCAAATGACGCTGCGTTAGGTTTGCCACCATGGTATGCAAATATGAGATGGAAAGAGTTTTATACAAACCCTGAGGTGGGATATAAACAACTTTATGCAGATGACGCGAACACAGGAGTTGACCCAGAGTATGTTTTCTACCAGAGGAGAAACAGAATGTATGAGCTCCAGTTAAAGAATGCTATGGAACTCAACAGGAAACGTAAGAGACTAGGCGGACATTAGATTTTTACATATAGTAAAATGGGTTTCTTCAGTAAGATAGGAAACTTCTTTCGAAATGTTGGAAGAGGTATATGGAATGGAATAAAAACCGTAGGAAGAGGAATTTGGAACGGTGTCAAAAATATTGGTAAAAGAGTAGGTCAGTTCGTTGGTATTATACCTAAAGACCCTGAACCAGAAGAACAAGCTCCTGTTATACAACAGCCTGAACCTGCACCACAGTCTAGTTGGCAACCAAATCCAACACCTCAACCGTATTAAAAAATTATTTTTTACCGTTCGATAGTAGTTGTATATGAAACTAAGTTCTAAGTAAAACGCATGGTATAATGGAATTATTCTTTTTCTTCCATCTGTAGTAAACCATACTTGAAAGTCTGAAATACTTCCACTTGGTGGTTCGTATAACTTTGTAGGTTTTTCGTAAAAGTCATTTGCCAAGCATAAAAAAGAGTTTTGGGCGCCAGAAAATGAAGCATGAACAATAATAGCAGCTGGGTCGAAAACATCTTTAAATAAATATGGTTCATCTCTTGCATATCGACTGTAAATATTTGCTAAAGGAAGTTCGACTTTCTGATTTAACATTCTTTGCAAATAATACCATGACATTGCAGTGAATTCTGTATATATTTGTTCGTCTTTCTTTGGATTGTCTTCGTAGATTTGAAATGACACTTGTGAATTTGTTTGTCATATACAATTCTCACATAAAGTGTGCTCTCGGTATTTGCATATTCATCAGCATATTTTGCATAACATGAATTTATTTTATCTTCTATATTTTTTTAACGCAGTCTGTAGAGAAGATGAAAGGTCAACTTGTATTAGCTCAATTTCTTCCCACATTTTTCGTTTCCCTTCAGATATATAATCTATATGAACCTTACAATAAATGGAAAACTTTTATCTTCTACAGACACAAACTTCATTCTACGAAAGCCAATAGCTTTTGTGACAGATGGGTCTCTTAACCATCTTAATGGGTAGTCAAAACGATAGCCTTCATGCTTTACGCTCTCTGTCTCAAACTTTTGACCGACATTAGTAAAAAGTTCATCTAATGGTTTAGTTGTAGCAACTCTTGAATTTTCTTTTTCTATTGGAAGCATATTTTATCTAGAATAAAAATGTCAAATGAAACAGCGTCTATGAGAGAAATACAACACAACCGACAACTCATTTTGCAAGCTCTAAATAAGAACACAACAAACTTTTCAAACTATTCTAAGATATCTGAGTCATTGAAAGAAGGAAACTTAAAACTGACATTAAACCCAATGACAGATGAGTTTCTATTTCAAGACAACAAGAACCATACTGTTTGTATAAATCCAACAAAAAGAACTTTAAACGAGAAACCTATAGATGAACTTCTTTTGAAAGCAGATATTGACAACAAAGCTGACAAAGAGTATGTCATTGAAAATGTTCAAGAAGAACATGACAGAGCAGATGCAACATATGCAACAAAAGAGGATGTTGAAAAGAAAGCTGACAAAGAGTATGTTGACGATGAGTTAGCATATCTGGCTAGTGGGTTAGTGAAGAAGGCAGATAAGGAATATGTGGATGAAAAAGACAATGAAATTATAAAAAGGGTTGAATGGTACCATGAACGGACATCGAAGATTTTAGAAGGTAAAGCCAATACAGGGTGGGTTTCAGGATGTTTAGACCTTAAAGCCGACAAAGAAACTGTAGATATGTTGACACAAACGGTTTCAAGTCATACCAGAGGTTTAATGGAAGATGGACAACAGTTGAAAGAGCTTGAGAAAGGTGTTACAGAGTTAAGGAATACAAAAGCAGACTCGACATGGATAGCTGGATATGTAGATGCAACAAAAGAACGTATTTTAGCATGGACAGAAGGAACATACCCACAAAAATATCATAGACATAGCATCTCTGACGTAAATGAACTTGAAGAAAAGTTATATAAAAAAGCAGACAAAACAGAGCTTCAAACATTAAAGACAGAAATACTTCAAACAGTATATCCTATAGGTTCTATTTATACGTCAATGAACTCTACCAGACCAGAAGTAGTACTTGGTCTCGGAACTTGGACTCAAATAGTCGACAGGTTTTTGTATTGTGCAAACTCTTCAAAGGAAACAGGTGGAAGTAAAACGATTTCAGGTGAAAATTTACCTGCGCACAGTCACTACATAAATTTAAGTACATCTGAAGCAGGTTGGCATAAGCATAGATATTGGGATTGGTCAGGAATGACAAAAGGTAAAGGATATGATGTTAAAGACGAGGTTAAGTTTGCTATAAATTGTTACTGGGATGACACTCAGGGAGAAGGAAACCATACACATCGCGTTTCAGGGTATACGCAAACAACGGGACAAAGTAAAGACTACATGCCACCTTACATGACAGTTTACGCATGGTATAGAATTGCTTAGTCGTCATTTTCAACTTCTTTAGCATATTCGTCAGGAGTTGTCTTATATTTGTTAGGAACTGTCTTTGAAAGTATACCACCTTGAACTTTGACAAGTTTGAAACGAGGTCTGACAATAGTAGTTTTATCTTCTGCTTGCAGTGTGTACATTTTGCCATGTTTGCCTAAAACTTCATAATATTCTCTTGTATACTTTCTTCTATTTTTACGAACACGAATGCGAGTACCTGTCGAGTTCCATTGTTGTCATAGTCAATAGTATTTTCATATGGGTCGCGTTTAGGTATTTCTATTTTTACTTTGTCACCTTTCTTAAGTTTGAAGCCTGGCATTCTTTCTTGTTTGTCTCTTTTGACTAAACTATTAAATATATAGTCTTTCTCTAAGTCAGGGTTGTTTTTCATTTCTTCGGGGAGTGGTTTCCCAAACCTTTTTGTTTACGGTTATTGTAAATATTTAAAACTTGTCTCATCTTTGCCATGGAGAAATGTCTATATTTGTCGTCATATGACATTTCATTTGCTTCACCACCTTGTGGTTGGTTTAAGTCTCTTAAGATTTTTATACAACTGTCAATGACACCAAGAGCAGAATGGTTTTGGTCGACAATGAAATATTGGTTTACATTTTTTGAACGCAGATAGTTTTTAATATCGTCTGATTTGAAAGAACTTTCACAGTCAGATGTCAGTTTTGTTGGATGGTATTTGTCAACGAATATTGTCAAAGCAGTTTTCACATCTAAAATATTTTTGGACTGTAATGGTATGGCTTCACAGTATCTTGTGTTTTGACCAACAAATATTAGCCAGTATGGTGGTCCATCTTCTCTATACCTCGGAATGTTTTCCAAGATATCCATAAACCAAGCATTTGGTGTTGAACTAAAGATTTTTATCATGAGTGCTTTCTTTGTTGCCTTAGAAACATAGGGGTCCTTGTTTGGATTCGTCATTTTTTAACCCATAAGAAATGGGTTTATTTGGCGCATTAGCAGGAGTTGCATCCAGATTTTTGCCCGCAGTGGGAACACTAGCCAGAGGTGCATTTGGAATTGGAAGGAAGATTTTGAGTACATTAGGTATACTGAAAGAGAAAGCACAGCCTATTATACAAACTGTACAGAAAGGTTGGGAGGTAGCACGAGATGCAGCAAATCTTATTCCAAATCCTGAAACAAGAGGAAAAGTTCAAGGATGGATGGACAATGTAGGAAGAGAAGCAGGAAACTATTATAACAAAGCAAATGACTACTATAACCAAGCAGGACACTATATGGACCAAGGTGAAAGATTCTTTAACAGAGGATATAACCATGCACAACAATGGGTAAACAATAACCAACCTCAACCGCCTCAAACGTGGGGAATGTAAAGTTTTTTACTGAGATGAAATGAACAATACAGCATTGAGACAAATGGGTTCAAGATGGATTTGTCGGCTTCCAGCAGTTACACAACGTGTTTGTCAAGTTCTTCCTATACCTCAGGAAGTTTTAGACCGACTTAAAAAACAACAACAACAACCAGTTGAAAACAAACCAAACTAAAATTTTTTACTGAGATGAAATGACCGAAGAAGTTGAAACGGTAGATTTGACACCACAAACAAAAAGTTCAGAACCATTGTCAAAACCTGTCAAAGAACTTACAGATGAAGAGAAAAATTCAATAATAGAAAGTGCCAGGTCTGGAAATACAAACCCTAACTACAAAGTCACTTTTCATAGAAATGGAACGGCTAGTATCTCAAAAAAGAAACAGACTCTCACAAATAAAATATTGAAGTCTGAAGGAGCTTTCGAGACAACAGATGGAAAAGTTTACTTCACTGACCAACAGTTCATTATAGAACATCTCATTGACTTAGAGTCGAAATATTCTAAACTTTACAACAAACACAAAAAGTTGAAAGGAAAACAAAAACAAATGGCATATGATATTTATGAAGATGTTGACGACACAACTGTTCCTGCAGGTGAGTAAAGTCAGAGGAACCGAAAAGTGACGAAAAACCGATAGAAGAAGGGAAGCCACAAACTGAAGAAAAACCAAAACCAAAGGTTAGTTTCCAAACTAAACCAAGTCAACCTTCATTAGCTGGTATGGGTTGGCGTCAAAGACTTATGGCAGGCGGTTATGTAAAGTAAAGAAAAAATATTTTTTTATTTTTATAAAAATGCCCCCATATAGAATGGATAGAAAATCTGCTAGAATAAAAGCAGAGTTAGAAAGATATGGTTGGAAAGTTTCAAAGAATTTTAAATATAGGAAGGGAAGACCCATAAAAGTCTATGACAAACTTGCTGGTCTGACCTACGAAATGGACTTAGAAACAGCACGCGCAAACTATCCAAACAGATTAGAGAGGTTAGAAGAAGAACGTCTTATGAACATGCCTTTCAATGTTAACGAGCCGCAAGTTGAAGGACACGACGGCTTTGCCAGATTCTACTGGAAACATGACGAACAATTGCATCCTTTGAGAAGGAAAAAAGGAAAAGGTGAAGACAAACATGCTCCCATGGAAAGAACAAGATATGCATATGAAAAGTACCGTGAAGTTAGAAGTCAAATTACATCTGGTCGAACCTTTACAGTAAACTTTGACGAAGGAAAGAACAAAGAAGGCTTCATGGGTGTACTTGCTGCCATACAAGACGGAAATAAGAAAGGATACAATCTCAGACTAACCATAACAGATTTGGACGGTCACATTTACTATGCACATGGCAATGTCACAACAGCTGCAATGCTTCTTGACGCTTTCAAGACTACAAAGAGAGAACAAATGGTTGACTCCGACTCAGACATTTTGAATGCAATTGAAGGAATTGCAAGTGTAAGTTCGAATGGTACCAACCTAACCCTCAAGCAGTCAGACAACATGCTGGATACTTCCCGTTCATAAATAAGTCTGACATTGACTTGACAAGGTATGGAATTTACAATTCAATTGAAACAATTGTCAATGAACCTTATTCTTACATGTCTCAGGAACTCTGGTCTTGTTACAGAAAAGAAGATGAAGTATCTTGAGTCATGTGTGAAGACAAGGTACATTCTCAGAGGTCAATTGGCAAAAATTGCACCGTTGGCAAATGTCAATATCCGAGTCAACATACCTACAGCTAAAGGTTCTTCACATGACGACTATGTTGTTGACAAAGACTTACCATGGTTGAAGATTGTAATTGTCCACAACCACTTCATGTTGAACGAAAGTCTTACAAACCCATTGTTCGGAAAAGGCAAGTGCAACATTGTCAGAGCTGTAAACATTCTTTTCGAGAAAGGTTTGTTGGAACCAATTCCAGATGACAAGCTGACAGAAACTTTTGTACCAAAAGACGAAACAAACTTTTCATTGTTAGCAAGACCAAAAGTTGTTCCAGACAAAGTTCTAGTACAAAAGAAGTACACAATTCCACAAGGAGTTGGATTGTTCGGATACCAACCTGAACCAGAAGAACTTCCAATGAGGTTGCAAGAACTTCAAGATGCTATAAACAAACTTCCATTGAGACATCCAATTGACGTCAAATTGTATTGGAGAGCATCTGAGTTAGGTCAGAAGGTTTTATATGAAACAGGTTGCTTCGACGATGTTTATGAGATAACAGGAGAAGTTTCTCAGAAGATAAGAGACTCACTTGAATTTCCACGAACTGGACCCATTGGTTGCGACAAGTTCGACTCAGATGAAAAGATATACTATGTCGACCTTAACGCTGCGTACATGAGGTTCGTCCAATATATTCCGACTGGAATTCCAAACGAAGACGGTGAGTTCCAGGAAGGAACTATACAGTTGGAAAAGTCATACAACAACTGTATGATATTAGGAAAGCTTCAAACCCCAAACTTGCAATGACACTCAAATTGCTTATGAATTCGACATGGGGATATTCCATTAAGAAACCTCAAGAGATGAAGAGTAAACATTATGAGAAGGTCGACAACTTTGTTGAAAGGTTTTCTCCTTTTGTTTTGAAATACGAATTTACCGAAGGTGAAAGTGGCTTAGTAACCACATTAAAACCTATTGTCGAACATTGGTCTTACCCTCAGTTCGCAAAAGCAGTCCTTGACAACTACAACAAATTCTTCTCCGAAGTCAAATCCAAAGTTGTGGTTTACTATGAGAACATTGACGCACTCATGACGAACGAAGAAGGGTACAACAAACTCATTGAAATGGGCATGGTCGGTGAAAAGATGGGCCTTTTTAAGCTAGATAAGGTATTTTCCGAAGTTCATGTCCTCTCCAAGCGTAAGTACTGGGGCATACTTGAAGACGGCACAGAAATAAAACATTGCATGAAATAAAACATTGCATGAAGTAAAACATTGCATACCATTTTAAAACATTTTTTAAAACAGTATATTTTTACATATATTAAATGTTTCAGGTTGAAAAACAAAGAACAAAAGTAGCAGATACAAAACCGTTAGACTATATCTTTACAAATACTGGTAGGACTATTTCAGATGAAGAAATTTTATCTCGAATTGTCTTTCATATACAACTACGGAAAAGTGCTGAAAAAGCACTGAAAAATATATTTTAGGGTAGAAGGGTATATCTACCCCGTTTTCTACCCTCATTTCTACCCGTTGAATTTTCATGAATTTCCTTAAGACAGCAAAAAAGTTAGTTAAAATGAGATGTTTACTGAACTGGTTGGATGTCGCCTTCACAGGTTATGTAGAACGGCTGACCAGAGAAGTGGAACAGTGCTCTGAGAATTTGTATAATTCGTGGAATTGGACTCTCTCTGTTTGGAAGTTGTATCCATGGGCGCTTTGCAAAGAACTTGAGAAGAGCTTCTTTCTTCATCTCCTTTATGTCGTCTACAGGAGTGTTTTCTGGTATTTGAATTGGAATTCCAGTCGAAATCTCGATTTTCAGCGCACCTCTTCCAGACAACCAGACGCCGAGGGACTTGTTGGCTTTGTCCTTGCCCAAATACTGCTTAACAACTTCATTTATCTCTATAAGGTAAATTGCCTCATCTAATGGCTCGATGCTGTCCATTGTTCTGTTTCAGAACTAGTCTTGTTCTGTTTCAGAACTAGTCTTGTACTTTTTCAGAACTAGTCTTGTACTTTTTCAGAACTAGTCTTGTACTTTTTCAGAACAAATTTCCCGTAAAAGCTCTCAATTTGAGAGAAAAATTTTCTGTTTCAGAACAATATTACTGTCAGAACTGTTTCAGAACAATATTTGTACTGTTTCAGAACAATATTTGTACTGTTTCAGAACAATATTTGTACTGTTTCAGAACAATATTTGTACTGTTTCAGAACAATGTCCGACGTACCACCAAAAAATATATTTTAGGGTAGAAGGGTATATCTACCCTCATTTCTACCCTCATTTCTACCCTCGTAGAAAACACACAAAACTCTTGAACTTTGTATAAAAAAAGCAACCCGCGGAAAACAGCGGGTTGGTATATTCTTCACAAAATGCTTGTTTTTGAGGTCGAGCCATTTTTGGCTCCACCGTATTTTTAAACCAAACTCGTTCATTTTGTGCTGAAATAAAATAAAGGTAGTCCCACCAAAAAATATTTTTTATTTTTATTGTAAGAACATGTTTGCAACAACAGCACCAAACTCGTTAGTCATGAACCCAACTTCAATGTTAGTAGAGATGAAAAGCTTCATTCCTTCTTCATATACTTTCGAAACAGAAATCCAGAAGATAAAGCAAGAACTTCTCCAAGGAGATTTAGACTGTAGTGCAAAAGATGAAACAAATGAACAGTATCTTTATGAAATGCAAGATATTATAGACCATTTGCCTAAACTTCCTGAAATACAACAACAAAACTCACTATTCCAGAATTCGATGAAATTGAAGTCAGACTGACTGACTCAGTAGAAATAAAGAAGTTCATACGAAAGGTAAACTATGAGTTTCTTGGATTTCATTGCAACCACAAAGTCATTGACATATATAAATCTGAAGAATTTAAGACCTACGACAACTTTGTTTCGTTAGTTGCTGAGTGTGTCTTGCAGATAAGAGATAAAGATAGAAGAGGTAAGGTATGGAACCAACAGATAAAACCAGCAACCTTTGAGTTAAAGAAAACCATCTACGCCTTAGTCATACTAGCAGGACAAATTTCAGAATATAACGCAAAAATGAACTCACAATGTTCTAAATGTAAAGCAGCAATGAGGAAATATAACTACTCCGTCAAAGAGATAGAAAGAATGAGAAAAGACCATACTGACTTAAAGAAAGAAGTAGAGAAACCAGCAGAAGATAAAATGGACATGTTGACATTTCTGAACAAAAACTATCCAACTGCTAACGATTTCCTTCTTTCAGATGTCAAGAAGAAATATAAAGAAACCTTCGGCATAGTTAAAATTTTTGATATCCTTCGTGAAGAAATAGAAGCTACAAAACTGTTTAAAGTCATGAACCATCACAACATATACCATGTAAAACGCTTGTAAAACTTTATGGTAGAAATGAGGGTAGAAAACGGGGTAGATATACCCTTCTACCCTAAAATATATTTTTGCTGAATTCAGCACAAAATTCTGAGTAAAATGACATATGGAACACATACTTTTTCAGTAAGGACATATGGGGTAGAAATGAGGGTAGAAAACGGGGTAGATATACCCTTCTACCCTAAAATATATTTTTGTCTGATTTACGCTCATTACGAAGAAGTCTTGACAAAACATTTACGAAGAAGTATATTTCCTGTGTTGTTGTCAAAATGTCATGTTGTCACACTTTTTCAGAGAAGTTCATTTAACCGAGTGACCTGGTCGCCTAAAATATATTTTATTGAATTCTGAGTAAAATGACCAAATTTCATGAATTTCCTTAAGATAGAAAAAATAAAATAAAGTTAGTTTTTTTTTAAAATATTTTTTTTATTTTGTATGTAAGAACAGGAAATGACAAACACTGAGTTTGAAACAGTTAAAAAGATAGACAATAACACTAAATTGGTTAGAATTGGTGATTTAAACGTAAGATACTCAAAGAAATACAACAAATATTCTTTGTCAGACATTTTATCTCCATTTGAAAAGAGAGCAAAGGACTGGGTTAGAAATGCTTCAACTCAGAAAATTTTGACAAGAAATCCTGAGCTTATGATATCGGTAAAATTCTATGGAACTGCAGCATATCTTATAGACAAAAGTCTTATACCAATAGTTTTGTTATGGTTAGACCCAGTTGTTGGATATAACTTCATAACATATGGTTCATTCGATACGGAACGTTGCAGTGAAGGCTTACTTTACATCGTTCAGAAACCGAAGGACTTCAATACAAAAAGATATAAGATAGGAAGAACATATAATATAACTCAAAGATATGACAGTACAGTCAATAGAGTCAAGGTTGTGTTTGTTAATGATATGAGAGCTGCAGAAACAGAACTACTTGAAAAGTTTGAGAAAATGTATGGTGCTCCCATAAAAGGTAAAGAAACGTTTGAAGTAGATGAGATAGATAAAGCTATAAAATTATTTGACGAAGTTGCTGAAAAATACATGTAAAAATAACGTTTAC